GTGAACAGACAGTCGATGAGTTTCTAGCAAACGACATTGGAATTGTAATAATTAATCAAAAACATATTCAAGCCCGAAGACTAATAACTTTAAATGAATGATTGATTATTTCCAACGTAAGTCCAAGTATTCCGCACAAAGTTATAGAAGAACAACTGGAAAACTTAAGTATACATCTAATAACTTCAGTTGACTTTCTCAGGATAGGGACTGCAAATCCAGCATTCATAGCATAGCGCCAACTAACTTAGACAAATTACCTGATTCTATATTAATTAACCATGAGGATATCAACTATCGAATTTTCTTTTCCGTCAAAAAGCAATCTTGCTACTTATACAAGTAGCAAGAACATTTTACATCTCAGTGTTCCAATAAAGATAATCACACTCCTTCAAACAACACCTAAAATAATTTCCATCTAAACTCTCTACAGACAGTACAACAATCAGCTCCTTTGTCGATAAATTTCTCTACACAATCCTCTTTTACTGAGTCTGAAACTTCTATAAAAATCATTACCTCTCAGTCAAATAAGCATATATAAGAGATGACGTAATAAGAGATAACGAAAATGCCTTCGCTGAACCGAAACCACGAAGCAAAAAACCAAAAACTCAACAAAAAAAACAACAGAAACCTAGTAGAAGATCTTACCAAATGCACCAGTCAATTTTTTAAAGAAAACTCTAACAATGAATACTTAACACAGTAAGAGCTTATTGACTTCTTTGAAAATGCGCATGATTCTTCAGATCCTCTCTGTGTCGCCAGAACTTACTCGGAGGATATCGAGTAAGTTCTAAGGAATATTCCTTATATTCTAAGGAATAGACTTTCTAAAGAAAATACATCCTATGTTAAGTCCAAGATATCTTAAATCCCGTTGTTCCAGAATAAAAACAAAATTACAGAACAAATTTTAAGTAATACTTCTACCGATGATGATCCTAGCGACTCCTCTCCGGGGACTTATTAATTATACTATTTTTAATTATATTATTCAATGGAACCTAAATGGGTACCATACCCATTTAGAAGGTCTTAAAATTCTTATAAATCAATTTCATCCATCCATCCTATGATTGCAAGAAACACATATCAAACGAAATTCATGTCACTATCTTAAAAACTTTATGTCCAGACTACGATTAGGAGACACCAAGATCACACATGATTTCCTACTACAGAAGTAACCCAAACCTTTGTGTTACGCGTGCCATAGTGATGTAACAGTACATCACTTATTAGTGGAGGTTTTACGCATTCGAAAGACAATATAAACAGTAACCTATAACAATAAAAGACATACTAAGTGAACATAGTAACCCCAATCGTATCATGGCCGCCAAAAATGGCCTTTGCTGTGTAATTTTTAAAACCAGCTTTAAGGTTCTTATTAGGTCTGTTGAATATTTCTTGTCTTGTCGTTGTTCAGTACATGCTCACTTTTGCAACGGCTTTTGTCTGTTGTTTTTTTTGCTGCCAACATCAAGTGCCATTGAATATAGCTTTTCTTATAGTATGGTATGTTCTTAGAGTATGCTTTGTAGCTCGCAAAAATTTATCTTTGACTGTTAAACTAGCTCTCTTAAAAGGGTTTCTTTCTTTTTTTAACTACTGGTTCATGCCTTTCTTCAGGAATGTGCCAAAACTATTTCAGTGTCCGCGTTTGAGGCTCCTTCGTCTGCTTCCATCCCCGACTCGTTAATATTTTCATGAATCATGCCAGATTCTTAAGTTGCCATTTCCATTAAGTCAATATTAGTATTTTGATTATCCAAGTCAAGTTCTTGAAAAACAGGTACAGCACACCTCTTGCAACCTTAGTTCCGTCATCCATGTCCGTTTCGTTAGTTTCAATATTTTCATTAGTCACGTTAGGTTCTAGAACTCTTCCTTGGAAGCTCAGTTTCATCTAGCAGAATCTGTCATCATCTGTCATCATCATTCTCATCACTTTCAGATTCATCATTAAATTCTTTTGGACCCTAAAACAAAAAAAATTGTACCTACTTTGTGAGTGCCAATATTTGCATTCAAATCGATTCCGATTACATATTTATATGATCCTGTTATTGACTTTAATCCATGGCTTGTAGTTGGCATTAAAATGTAATTTTTAATTTAGCTATGAGTTACCAAAAGGTTTAAGGTGATTTTAATATATTCTTGTAAAAGTAGATAAAATTACAGCCGTGTATTCATTTTTATACACAATTAATAAAGAAATGCAACGAAATTTCTTGAAAGTAGGACTGACTGTTGCAAAGAAAACTAAAAATAAAGAAGACAAAATAGTCTTCATCATTCATGAATAGTCAATAGAAAGTCTAGCATTGTAATATTTAATGCAATCCTTTTTACACTGTCATAGGCTACTTTGAAGTTCACGAAGAGATGATCCTTGTCCAGTTCTAGTGACGTTTTTAGAATCTACCTATGTGCTTGAATTTGATGTGTAGTTAACTTTCCAGAAGTAAATCCGCATTGATGTTGACCAAAAATATCGTTTGTAAAATGTTTAAGTCTTTCAAACAATACATTGCTAAAGATTGTCTACGCAGATGCTAACAGAGTAATGCCTCTATAGTTCTTACACTCCAGGGACATATTATTCCTTTTAGCCACTATTTTGCTACCAATTCATTCTGCCATATAAGTACTATTAGTTTTTGGATTGCTGCAAAAAGTTGATCATCACCTTTTTATACATTTTCGAACAGACTCCATTGATTCCTGGGGCTTTATTGTCTTCTGATGAAGATGGTTTTCTGTAAATCTGGGCTTTAAAGTTGAAGATGAAATTAAAAATGATGAGTCGTAACAAAAATTAAGGCTTCATTAAAAAACATAATTATAAAAACATTTTGTTCTAAATATATTGTCAGAAACATTACTCCTAAACTTATTATGTCGAATGATAATCCGAAACGAGTCATTTCAAAATTTTTGTTTATATTTCTATGAAAACCTAGGATTATAATTTTTTTAATGATGCTAGTGAGTGATCGTAATTAATTTATTTTAATCCCAAAGTCTCGCTTCGAAATCTTGGACCAAACAATTAAAATATTTTATCAAACTATTTTGCTTATTTTGTTAAAACCTCATGGTCGTGGCTTAACCCATTATTGCATAAAACCATGCAAATATATTGTGCTTTTCATTGCAGTGTAACTAATCACTCTTGTTTCTCCTCTAGGTAAGTGAAATCTATCACTCCCAGTATGTTTTTAATAAATGAGCTTAGATCTGATTTACATTTATATTGGATTGGTTTTTTGTCGTTTCCCTAATCACAACATTAAAAACTCCGTCTACGGAAAGCTGCATGCAATTTTAATTTAGGTCCTTTTGAATAAACTTACTTTGTTCTTTAGGCTTAAGACTTCATTATTACGTAATAGTAGATCCCTTAATGATCTCATTAATTTAATTGACAATGTTACACAGATCTCCGAAAAACACTTTTCTCCCTTTTTCGTTCTGGGTCCCCTGTTTCTTTTTGTCCAGAAAGCATAAATCTTTGCTGTTCTTTTTTCTAATTTCGAAATTATAATTTGTTTTAATGAAAAAAGCATTGAGTGTAAATATTAGCAGTTCTCGGAACATGAAATGGATATCCTTTTTTAATTCTGTTTATATTACTTTATTAAGAAATAAATTAAACGACGTTATCGTATAAAGGTTTTTTTATTAACTTTGAAGTTTTTTACACGAAAAATTTATAATACAGTGTGATCATTTGTATCGGAAACCATAACGTACCTATATCAACCAGTTAGAGTTCAAATTACTATTTTTGTTTTGTTTTTTTTTTATTACAAAATTGTATTTATCGCTTTTTATTAACTATAATTATACACTTATTCTTCGTTCTTCGTGTATGTAGACTCCAAAGCCTATTTCTTCTTCAATATTAGCCTCCTGAATTGTTTAGATTATCGCACCAATTTTTTCTTGGTCTGCCAATACTTTTTCCTCCATTTTGCGACTTATCCCGTGCTATTCGTACTATCCTATCCCCTGTCATTTTACTAATATGTTCGCTCCACTCATGTCTTCCATCTTCTTCTCTTCTTCTTCAGCCTTCATTTATCCAATGTTGGACATAGGTCTCCTCCAATTGCTTCCACGCTTCCCTATCTTTTGCAATTCTCATCCACTGATTTCCAGCTACAGCAGTTATATCGTCTATCCATCTCTTTTTAGGTCTTCCCACGCTTCTTTTTGTTTCTCGAGGTCTCCAGAATGTCACTTTATGAGACCATCTGTTGGTGTCTTGTCTTGCTACTTGTGCTACCCATTGCCATCTCAATGTCGCTATTTTTCCCATGATGTCGGTTACTTTAGTTCTTCGACGTATTTCGGTGTTAGGAATTTTGTCTCTGAGGCTTATATTTAACATGGCCCTCTCCATGGCCCGTTGAGTTACTCTTATTGTTCTGCCATTTTTCTTGTTATTGCCATAGTTTCCAATCCATAAGTTGCAACTGGTAGTATACAAGTGTCATAGGTTTTTCGTTTTAAGTGAATTGAGATTTTTCTGTCGTTTAAAATGAAGCTCACCTTACCAAAAGCAGCCCATGATAATTGTGTCCTTCTTTTAATATATATATATATATATATATATATAATATATATATATATATATATAAACATGTATTATTGATTCCCAGTTCGTTAAAAACAAGGAGATTAGTCATGAGTTCCCCATTTGCGTGACATGGTTTTGTTATGTCAAACCATGTTTTACAGATTTAATACAGTAAATTATAATAATAAAAAAGTAAATAATACACATGAAATAAAAGTAAAGTTAGTATAAAACAGTTGCCAAATCTTGAGCAGTCAGTGTCAACACGCATCTGTTAATTCTGCTACAAATACTAGTCATAATTGTTTCAACAATAACAATTTAATTTATTTGTCTGACTTCTAATTGTATATAATAAACTTTATAAATTATGTAATTGACTGTTTCTTTTTTGTTTTAGGGTGCCGCTATCGGAGTAATTTCTGGCCATTTGGTAACTCTTTGGATCACCTTCGGTGGTTTGACGATAGAGAAACCACCTGCAAGTTTCTTGCCTGTATATACCGATGGATGTGGTAATACATCTTTCAACGATCACATCTTAAAACCTGAACACAGATATCCAAAATGGACACCTACCACAACTCCTTCGCCTTACTACATCTATAACGATACCCATACTTTACTTAACACTACAAGAGCGGCTCCATCGTAAGTATATAAGTTTTTTAAAGAACTGCTTATTTTTTATGTATTATATCTACAGCTTCTTAATTTTTATGCTCTATAGGATCTAGTACGGATTTTTCACTGTGCTTTTTTAAATGCTAGGAGTCGATTTTTTACCTGGTCAAGCTCTAAAAAGTCTTGTGCCAGATATTTATGGTTTTCTATGTGGTGAAATAAATCTTTCATATATTTCATCTTTTACATAAGTAAATCATTTTGCTATGTTACGTAGTAGGATATCAATGCCCTATTATAACAGGGATTAAAAGATACGCTTCTCTGCTTCGGTTTTATTCCCACGGTCTCCAACTTAATAGAATTTTGTTTCATCGGTCTTCTTTTTGTCTTATATTGTATCCGGCAAATCTCCATTTCAATTTTGCAACTTCTTGTCTAACATCCCTCACTTTTGTTTTCTCTCTTTTCACTCGTTTCTCTTTTTATCTTTTTAGTCTTATGTGCAACAATTGTCTTTCCATTGCTCTGTAGGTTTTTATGATTTTGTCCATGTTTGCTTTTGTAAATGTCCACGTATGGAAACCATAAGTGAGAACAGGGAGTACGCATTGATTGCATACTTTGGTCTTAAGATGCTGTGAGTATCTTTTGTTTTCAAATCATCAGCGTACCTGAGATGGTTCACGCTTGAACCATTTAAGGTTGTAACTCTAACGACACATAAAAATCCTGTACATGTTTATAAATTATACCTAATATACGACAGGAATTTTAATTAAGTTCACAAAATTTGCATAGGTATATGTTATAATAGCTTGTTTTTTGTTTTAGTGATCCCTTACTCAGCTCTACTCAGTGACCTACATGTACTACTCCTTTATTGGATGCTTCATTACCATACTCTTCGGATGGACAGTCTCCTACTTCACAGGCAGCGAAAGTGACAGATACGACGAAGAGCTCATCCATCCTATCGCAAGAAAAATGGCCAACGTGTTCCCAGGAAAGAAAAGAATATACTCACAAAAAACCATCGATGAAGAAGAAAAACCAGAAAAGAGCTCAAAATTAGATAATTTTGTGCAGCCATCGACAAGTTATGGAAATGCAGAGAAAAAGGGTTCGATAAATCCCACTTTTAATTCAGATTTATCGGATGAATCTGTCGATGGAATTTACAAGACGAAGTTGTGATTTTAGCTGGAGTTACGAAGAACATTGTAATGGTATTAAGTTAGGTGCCTATTACTTTTAGCAACTTCTGTGATCTCTAGCTGTTATGGACATATTTTGGTGTAATTCATACGTTGTGTTTGTTGTTTGATTAAAAATAATTGTCAGTAAAGTCGTAGATGGTAGGTTTTTAATTTATGAATTAATAGGTTTATTCATCTGACAGTTAGAATATCACCAGAATGGCTCAACTCGATATTTTGTTGAAATAAAACTGACCAAAATATTTTATAAAGATTTAATCGTAGAAAATACTGTCAGGAAATTGGAGCGATTAGAGTTTTAATGAAATGCTTCTTTGAAATATTTTTTATACTTCAGTATAACAAAGCTACAATTATTTATTTATTAATAATATTAGAATTCAAACACATCAGTAAACAAGTTGCTAATAAACAAGTTACAGTAAAATAAAATTGCAATAAACTTTGAATGAGCTAAAATGGAAATGGTCTATTAATATAAACTATTGGATAAGATTTTGTGAATATAAAGTCTTTAGGACTATTATTGTAATATCCAGAATACTCTCTATCTCCCTAATGGCATTCTCCTACCTGTCATTTACGTGGATTTCCTTTTGGTATTGCACTCTGTATTTTATTATTCTTGTGCCCTGAATTTTACTATTCCTGCGCCCTGCATTTTGTACATGTATAACAAAAGAAATATGAAACTACATATAAATATATGTGTTGTATAGCATACAAATACTTATCAAAAGCAGCGAAAGACTTAAATATAGAAAAGAATAAAAACTATTAGAACTAACCAAAAAGTTCAGATATACTCAGGTAAAAAGAAAAGCCAATTTTAGTTCAACCGAGAATTATTATTTGAGGAAGGAATACAAAAAAAATATCAGACAAGAGAATAGAAATAAATAAAAAAGACAAGGAGTTAAAACTGAAATATGTTAAAATGTATGAATCAATGTTATACTTTATAATCTTTATTGGTACTTACTTTACTATCTGGTGTAGCACATTTGGTTGTTACTAAGTGTTGTGTATTTGGTATTTCTTACTTAAATAAGGTAATAATTAATAATACAACGTGGTTTTATATCATTAACCTTTATTGCCTAATAACTAACTTCATTCTCTTGTGTCAGTGAGCGGTGTTGCCTACCTGTGTTGTCAAGTATACAGGGTGGTGAATCGTCAAACGGTCCATAGGAAATTCAATGGGAAATTCTAAGTTGTTGAATTCCTGCTTCCCTAATTATTTTACAACAAAATTCATAGGAAACTATTTGTAAAGAACTAAAATATGTATTAAAAACAAATGTTAAAATCGTTCTACGAATTAAATGTATCCCAAAATTTTGTAAAAATATAAAACATTTTTTAGGCCCACCCCTTAAAGTCAGACCACACAAGGTACAAGAATGTGTATGAGATGTTGCGTTTGGTCGTATTTATGTTTCTAATATTTGACATTATTTGAATTGCCAAAATTTTAATTTAGTGATTTATTGTTTAAAAAAAACATAGTTTATTAAAAAATGTATTCAGTCGAGGAGAAAGTAGCAATAATAAAAATGTTTTATTCTGGCAATAGTGCGCGAATTGTCAGTTCTTTATTTAGCGTAAGATATCCCAATAGACCAATTCCAAGTCACTCAACAATTCTAAGGATTTTAGAAAAGTTTGAAAATACTGGGACCGTGATTTCTAATTGTACCTGTACAAACAATATTGCTGAAGTACCAAAAAATTTAGAAAATCAAAATGAAATAAATGTATTAACAGCAGTTGTAGAAAATCCTAGAATAAGTTCTCGGACCATTGCAGATCAGTTAAATATTCATAACTCTACGGCTTTAAAAATTTTGAAAAGGAATAAATTCCGTTCTTATAAATTCCAATGTCATCAAGAACTAAGAGAAGGAGATGCTGAAAGACGAGCGGAATTTTGTTATGAAATGTTAGAGAGGGCTAATGCAGACAGACAATTTTTAAAAAACATTTTGTTTAGTGATGAATGTACATTTACATTAAATAATGAACCAAATGTTCAAAATTATAGGATTTGATCGACAAAAAAGCCTGAGAATATTATTGAAAGCCATACCCAATATCGTCGAAAAATAAATGTCTGGTTAGGAATATTTAGACACAATATTACTGGACCATTTTTCTATGAGGAAAATTTAAATTCAAAAAAGTTTTTAGACTTGCTACAAGAAGAAATTTTACATAGACTTGCAGAATTAGTTCCAGATGAAGAAAAAATTTGGTTTCAAATGGATGGCTGCGCTGCGCATAATAACTGGGAGGTTAAGGAATTCCTTAAAAACAGCTTTAATAATTGTTTGATTGGACCTGACTGTAATATTAAGTGGCCTCCGAGATCGGGAGATCTAGCTCCAAACGATTATTTTATCTGGGGGCATTTAAAATCAAAAATCTATTCTGACCAAAAATTTACAGATAATGAAACTTTAAAAAGGCGAATTATTGAAGAGTGTGCAAAAATAACGTCACGCATTCTGGCTAATGTTAGACGAGAATTTTACAATCGAGTGGGATACTGCTTAGTACAAAATGGCTTATTGTTTGAACATTTGTTATAGTTTTATGTTGAAATTATCATAAATTATATAAATTATTATTAGGAAGGATCACAGTAAAACTATATAGAAATTATTTGATTGTTGTATAACCTGGAATTGAAATGGAGTGTATTATGATATCTTGTGTTAAATAAAGATCTGGCAGTGCTCGCACTATTGCCTTATTGCGATTTTTCGTGAACTGATTACATTTCATCAATTTTATTGCTTTGTAAACAGTATAATTTATTGTTTACAAAGTACTAGTTACTGTTCACTAGTAGTAGTATTTGTGAAAACTTATGCATTTTAGTATCTATGCATGATTTAATCACAAATTAAAAATATTGACAATTCAAATAATGTCAAATAGTAAAAACATAAATATGACCAAACGCAACACGTCATACACATTCTTGTACCTTGTGTGGCCTGACTTTAAGGGGTGACCTAAAAAATGTATTATATTTTTACAAAATTTTGGGATACATTTAATTCGTAGAACAATTTTAACATTTGTTTTTAATACATATTTTAGTTCTTTACAAATAGTTTCCTATGAATTTTGATGTAAAATAATTAGGGAAGCAGGAATTTAACAATTTAGAATTTTCCATTGAATTTCCTATGGACCGTTTGGCGTTTCACCACCCGGTATAACACTAAGGATAAAATGTAATAGTCTACTTAATTCACGATAATTATTTTACACAATCAATAATAAAAAAAGATCATTTCAAATTCAAAATAAAGTGACTATTTTAACTGTCAGATGGGGAAATGTTAAGCGCTTAAATGCACGTACTATTTATAAAAAATTAGTATGTCATTAGGTTAGCTGACCAAACATGTTTGTATGTACTTTAGCTACTTATCCAGGTGTGTGAGAACTTTTAAAAGAAAAGGCAAATCTCAAAATTGTATTCCACTTATAATAAAATAATTGCATTAAGAAGACTGCCCTATTACAACATTGTATAAATTTGTAATTAAAAAAAATAATTATAATGTTAACATTATAAAAGGATATATAAAAATATTAGGTTATGTTAAAATAAAATTGTTATGGCTGATGTATCATGAGGTTCATCGCTAAACGTTCTCTACCTTTGAATGCAGCTGACCATCTTTTTGCCCAACCGCTGCATTTAAGATCACGATTATTGAGTCCATTAGATACTTACTGGTCTACATTTTTTCCATTACGAAGAACAGTGGACTGAAGTAACTTCAAGATATAAATTTTATATTTTGCGGATCCCCACAGCTAACGTCCTGTGCTTTAGAAGAACTACTATGGCTTTTACTGTTTTCCTGTCTTTGTTAATTAGGTCTGCTGTAAATTTTGGCGAATGTTCTGTAATGGACTGTTTCGCCTGTCTTTCTCCTGGGTGTGAATTTCTCCGCCATTCCATAGATTTGTGAGCTACCCACTCCCTTGTTACTTCTTGTTACTGCCTTTGCAACGCCGCAGAAGGGTTCCGGTTCAATGAATGGCATTGATGAGCCTTGTTTGGCCATTTTATCTGCTTTTTCATTGCACTTTTGACTCTCGTGCTTCGGTATCCAGGCTACTGTAACCTTACCACGGGCACATACACAATCCTATACTAGCTTAGAATTGACCTCTACAGAATTGAGAGCCTTGAGCGCTGCCTGATTATCTGTGAAGATTGCAACTGCATGGTTCTTTCCTGCCTTTCTATGATGGATTGCCGTTACTTCCGCCTGGAAAACTGTCACATTCTTAGATAGACTTACCAGGAAATGTATCCCTTGATTTGTTCGTACTGCCTAATTCCATACAGGCCTAATACCTACTTGATTTATATATCAGAATTTGGTTTACGATTTTTTTGCGATTTGTTTACTATAAGCCGACACAGTTTATTTTTTTTTAGTTTTTATTATCTGTTTGTAAGCCTCCTAAAATTTCGAATTCAACAAACTACAAAAATCCTTTTACAGAAGTAGAATTAGTTCTCGCCATTAGAATTTTTTTTGGCTTTCTGGTTATATATCTCAGGTTAACGAACATTCCTAGAAGTTGGTCAATCTGATCGTACAGG